CCTACCTTATATAATTTTGGCGTGTAACTGTGTGTGTGTGTGTGTGTGTGGATGTCACTTTCGAGGCCCGATTTGAGGGCCTTCCCGTGCATAAAATGCTCTAATTCTTCGTCACTTGGGGAAATCGACCCTTCTGTTTCCAATGGCGCTTTCAGAATTTTGATAAAATACAAGTTTACAAAGTTAAAGCCGGTTTTACTCATTTTTGGGAGTAATTTGCATAATGTGAAAAAAATAGAAATTTCTTCATTCTTGCAAGTTGCACGCGCGCGTGTGGTGGGCCGGGGAGGGGGTCCGAAGGACCCGAGCTATCGGAAAGTCAAATCTCTTATGCAAAGGCCGCATTCCAGCGCCCAAGGCCCGCGAAGCGGGTTTTGGGCGCTGGTCATAAAAATAAAAGATCAATCAAAACTAGCACCTTCAGAGAGCCGTCATTTAATGACGAGACAACCAGCACCACTTCAGAACAATCTGGCATTACGCCGACGAAGAAGCAAGCGGTAAGTATAAGAAAAAGCGAGGCGGAAAACGCATGATTTCAGCTAGACTATGCTGAGCGTCGACGGCGAAATAACGATTCGGCTAGACGATCGAGAGAGGTGAGCACGACATTTCAGTATAAAATGAATAAAATCGGTACTTTGGCAATATCGGAGGATTTTCTATAAATCTAGTATTTTTGATAGCTAATTTGATAATATGAACTATATTTCAAGCGGCAAAATTTTTGGAAAATGAAAACTGCTAAAAAATTGAAATTTTTGGGTGAAACGCGGCACGATCTATATGTTTGGTAGTTTTTAATAGATCTGTTGGGTTTTCACCCCCCCCCCCCGATATCGCAAAAGCACCGAAAAACGTAATACTGTGTCAAAATCAGGAAATCAAGGTTTATTCCAGGCTTTTCAGGTGCGCCGGCAACGCGAAATGGAAAATCGGCATAAAAGCGAGAAGTTGGCCCGGGAGAACGAGGAGCTGCGCAAGAGGTCGGCACTGATCTTTATTTTAATCGATATCATATATTTAAATATTTGAAAATTATTTTCTAGGTGCAACGATTACGCGCCGAGGTTGCGCAGGTGACGGGCCGTGTTGGCTTTCATGAACGAGCTGAAGAAGAGCCAATAAAAAATTTTGTTTACCTGATTTTTCATCCATTCCATTGAAGCCTCGCTAGGCATTAGTCAATTTCCTTATATTTCGAATTTCTTTGTACTTTAACCGTACCCTACCATTATTAATAATTTTTGCATATTACTGTGTGTCCTCGGCAAGCTATTCAGGTTTTTGTTCTCAATTACTTCCTCTTGTATATTTGAAGGTATAAAGATTTTGTGGAGTGCATAGCCAGGTGGTTCGAATGGACACACTGTAGCTGAGGAAAAGTGATTGTTGGGGCCATCGCGGCCCCTTTGGGCCATTACATAACGATACCGGGGGTCAAGCACTGGATTACCCCCGGCTCACCCTACTTGATCATCCTCCGCCTAATCCACGCCAGGAAGCGTTCAAAGAGGAATCAGGGGTCGGGTCAGGATAATTCAAAAAAATCGTAGTGGGAAAAATTTCTACAGGGTGGCCCAAAAAAACAACAGGTTTGGGCGCGTTTATTCGAGAACCTTAACGAATCCATGGTGGGTTGATGGCTGAAAACCATTTCTTGGCCTGGAAAAGAAAATAAACACAACTTGATTTTTTTCGATTTTGGACGACGTATCAATACAAATGACACCCGAAAACTGTGCGTCCGGGGAAGTTTAATCTTGTATTTTTCTCAGCCGCCCGGGCAGGGGATTTCTAATTTTTGCTGTGTAAAATCTTGTAGGCATTAGATAGATACATGCAAAATTTTGGAATTTTTGAAGGTCAGGGTGGCAAGTTATAGCGTGCTCAACCTAATATGGAGAAATTTCGTAAATTTCGAATATTACAAAAACCTATGGTGGAAACCTCAGAACAAGCTGTTTTAGCCCGTCTATAGGCTCGATACAATCCCGCAAAAATATCAAAAAATTTTTCAGATCCGCGGATTTTTGAGTTTTTCGACGACCCCTGGTCATGGATTCTTTCGAGGTCACGAAACTGAACTTTGGAAAAATATTTCTAAAATTGCAGATAGAATTTCCGTGTTTGCTTTGCTTAGTTGTGTAGGACTGGGGTCCATCTATCATGTAGACAAATTCTAGCTACCGTACCCCTTTGGAAGGCTGCTTTTAGCGCCTCCAAAACGGTTGGTTCTTGCTATTTCGCAGACCTTGGTGCCAATCTATAAAATTCAATTGCACGGCTAGAATTATTGTCATAATTTTATTTGATATTACTTAATTGGCGCATTCTAAAATTATATTTACAAATTTATTGGGCCATCCAATCTCTCAAAAGAAATTCATGAAGAGTCCAAATATACCCGAACTCGAGGCGACGTAAGAAAATTCTCGAGGGTTTAGTAGCCTCGACTTTTCTGGCATAAACTCAGCTCGGGTAGGCAACTAGAACCCATGCAAATACAAAGCCTTTTCATGGCAAACGAATTTAGAAGAGCTCCCCAAAGTCGGCTTTTCAAAAACGTTATTTACGGGTTTTAAATCAAAATCAACCATTAACTTCAGCCAGATCATTCCAGTATTCTGCTCTCATACACAGTTCGATACGTGCTTTAATTGTATCCACCAAACCCCGGTGCCATTTTCATTTTCAAAATTCGGCTTCGAGCCAGGGTGTCGGGTCCAAAATCGGGCCCCGAGGAGGGTTTTCCTCTTTCCCTCATAACTTAGTCATTTGCCACAGGAATCAAGTAATTTTTTGTAGGTGCTCTACAATCGCCCAGTGAACAGTCTAGAATAGAAAATTGGCATTTTATGGCATTTTGTCTTGGCATGCTAAAACGCGCTCCAGGCGGGTTACGGTAGAAAACAGAAAATCGTCGTTTTCTCGTTCTTTTCACCATAGAAACGTTTCGATCTTTTGGGACAACAAATAACAGTAGTTTTTGGTCCCATGTATCAAAATATTTAAAAATTTCTATGGCTAAATTCAAAAATAAGTTTTTGCATATTTTGGGAAGGTGTGTGGCTAGAACTTCACGATATTTGGCCCATAGGTGACCCTTACTGGTGTTTACCAATGGAAAAATTTTAAGCAAAATCGCAGCATACGATAAAAAGAAAAACGCCAAAAACGAAAAACTACAGTATCCCTCTGGGGCAAGTTTTAGCAAGCAATATTAAAATACCATAGAATCGGGTGATAACTGGCGTTGGATCAAAGATCATCATTTGGAGACACCATTTGCAAAAGATCAGCCATGGGCAGAGAATTTGAAGCGAGTTGCGAATCCTACTATATATAAAAAAATAGTGTCTGTGTGTGTGTGCCACTTTGCATGCAACTTCCGTCAGGCTGTCCGGAGGATATCTCAAGAAGGGAAGGGTATTAGTCTACGTATGATACACCATTAGGTGCGTAATGGTCACGAGATGACTGCACGCATATCAGATTTTACAAAATCAGTAGTTTTCGACATTAAAATTATGTTTTTGTTGTAAAATCGGGAACCCTCTTTGGTAGGAAACAATTTGCATAAACCGGAAGTGGCGGGAGCCTATATGAAGAGCTAGAGAGTGACATTTTCATTATTCGCATAGGAATGGAGAACCGTATGCAAGAATGCAAAGTCAAAAATATTATTGGTTTAGATTGGACTAGGGCTGAAAAGTCGCGAAGCGGCTTTTCAACCCTGGTTAAAACGTAAAAAGATCCTACTATATATAAAAAAATAGTGTCTGTGTGTGTGTCCGTGCCACTTTGCATGCAACTTCCGTCATTCTGTCCGGAGGATATCTCGGAAAGGGAAGGGTTTTAAGGTATGTTTGATACGTCATTAGATGCGTCGTAGTCTGGAGATGACTGCACCAATATCAGTTTTTACAAATTCAGCTGTTTTCGACATTAAAATTAAGTTTTTGTTAAAAAATGGGGCAGCCTTCTTTGTTAGGAAATAATTAGCATACGCCGGAAGTGGCGGCGGCCTATCTATAACCCGAGAGAGTGGAATTTTTCATTTTTCTCATCGGAAATCGAAAGACGTATGCAGAGTGAAGAATCTGATGGGGTTGGACGGGGCCAGGGTTGAAAGTCGCGAAGCGGCTTTTCAACCCTGGTGCAAAATAGTGAAATTTGTATTACTTCTAAAAAATGAAATTGACCTCGATAAATTCTAAGATTTTGCCATTACATTTCTACAAACATCAGCTATTTTTAGGCCAAAAATCAGAATTTTCCCACCACCCGTTCAAGAACGCACAATTTTCGGTCGTAACCAGCGTCAATAGTACAGTTGCGTACTCAAAAATCGAAAAAATCAAGTTGTGTTTAATTTCTTTTCCAGGCCGAGAAAATGGTTTTCAGCCATCAACCCACCATGAATTCATTAAGGTTCTCGAGATAATCGAGCCCAAACCTGTTGTTTTTTTTTTGGGCCACCCTGTATCGTGAATTGCGTTATGAAAAAATTCGGCCTGACGGCTGAGAAATCGGCTGTACAGAAAACAAACATACTTTTCTCGCTTATAGGATAGGACCAGAATCGAACCTCCTGCGCTACTTCCCCTCCTGGAAACGCGCGCGACCTGGCTCACTATGCCCAAAATCATGCAAATAGCCGTTTATACTACCAAATTACAAAAATTATTTTAAATATGAAAATAAAGTTTATTCTGTTCTTGATCAGTTTTGCGGTTTTTGACTATTCGGAAACGTAAAAATATACGAAAACCTATTAAAAAGGCCAAAAATATAGATTTTCCGATTTTCCCGCAATTTCAAATTGTTTCCGAACAAAGAGGGTTCCCATATTTACCACAAAAACACAATTTTACTGTCGAAAATAGCAGGATCTGTAAAATCCAATACGCGCGCAAAGAAATTAAGTAATGGCCCCAGGCTATTCGGTAGATATGGGGGCAAGAAAGGCTATCCATCTGCCTTTCTGCTATGATAAAAATACTTCCTTCTGTTCATTTGATCCTCGATTATTATAGTTCCCTCCTCTAACTATATCCAACTAATCAACAACTAGACCAATTGCTGGCTAAAGAAAAAAGGAAAAGATACAGGCGACAAATGAAAACAGGAAAACGATCGTCGAACAAATGTCCATTCAATTTCTTGGCTCTACCCATTCGACTACAATCTATTGTCTCTTCTCAGTTGGGATTTCGAGAAAGGATCCGTCTACGTCATGCTACAAAAGTACGTTTCTTGCATCATCCCGTATTTACTGTAAGCATGTGGGGGCAAACTAACGGGGATTCTTTAGGAATAAGTCCTTTCAGACATTGCCATATCGATTCATTCAACACAATTCACATTGGCCGACGAGGTCATCGAGTCTCGGATATCCTCATTTCTATCGACAAATATCCACGGATCGTTCCCGAGGTATCCAGAATTTTCAATAATGTCGCTAATTTTCGTAGTTTTTCAAGGTCATTCGACATGCATAAAAAATATACGAATAGTTTTATTTTCGGCCTAAAACGATGTATAAAATAGTGGTTCTGGGCGGTTAGCGGGGAAGCCGCCTTTTGTTTTTCCACCTATACCTACCTATTGATGATATACCATGAATTGTTATAGTGTTTTTAGTAGTTTTGATTGCTAGAAATGCATCAAAAAATTTTTTAAAATTTTAAAACTAAAATTTTACCTTTTGGTTCATTTTTCTTACAGTTTTCACCAAAGTCAAAAATTTGCAAAAAGTTTCGTATCTTTGATAGTATTTTTCTATTTGCATACGTAAAAAACTAGAAAAATGGTTTATATTTTATTATAGGGCCGTAGAGAATTATTAGGAAAAAATTGGTTCCCCCGCTAACAGTCCAGAACCAAATCGCCATGGACAAAAGCAATATCAATAGCAAAAGCCATCAGCAATATCGATCCTGAGCATATTATGATTCTAGAGCACGGCTGTCACTTTTCGCACCCACTGCGGCGAGATAGCCCTCAAATATTGGAGAGGCATCTTCGAGAGTTTGTCATAACAATTATGTTTGGCATACCCATGGGCGACCACACCA